GTTAATTATCATTAGTATGTGATTAATTGTTAACTGTTAAAGGAATTATGATATTGGTACTATCAAATATGTATATAGATGTTTTGTGAACTAACGGAAACAGAGGCTAGACCAATGCATAACTCATGGTGCTGGTTGAGTTGAGGGAGAGAATGAAGTTGCAAAGACCTGAGAAAAAGTCATTCAGAGGAAAATAACAAATTAAAATGAACTTTCCTATTGTAAAGCAGTATGGAGGAGACTGGATTCACACACTACCCCTAAAATCCTAAAGCAAATATACTAGCAAATTTGCAATATAAAATTACTCTTCACTTGTTCTATGATAGCAAAGAGGACATTATTTTGGAGTCATACCTTATACAAACAGTAAATTTCTGGTGGGTGACCAAATTAAGTATTGAAAATTTATCATTATAAAAAATACAACTTGGGTATGAGAACCAGAAATTTTTATTGTTTTAAATGATCAATTTTTCAGATGAAAAAGATAGGTTTTTTAAATAAAATTCTTAACCTCTCAGTATCATGTGATTGAATGTCAAAAAAGAAGCAATAGAGTAGGGGAACATAGCAGTACAAAGTGATTTTATTAGTATTATTAATATTTTAAAAATACAGAATAAAGTTTGTGTTGATCTCTTTTTTGGATTCCACAGATATAGTGCAGAATGACCCAATTTATGTTGTTGTTAAGTGCTTTCGAATTGGTTCTGACTCATTTGTGACCCTTTTAGGGTTTCTGATGCTTTAATTCTTCATGGGAACAGAAAGCTTCATCTTTGTCACACAGAGCAGCTGGTGGGCTTGAACTACCAACCTTGTGCTTCATAGTCCAGTGCTTATCATATGGAGCCAGCACACTTCCACAGTACTTTTAGAAACTTTTTTTCTTTTGTCTAGAAAAGAGTGCATGTTTGCCTTATTAAAATTATAGATAGTTTAATACTTTGAAGAGCCTTGGTGGCACAGTAGACTTAAGCACTGGGAGAAACATGAGGTAATCCTGTAAAGATTTACAGTCTCAGAAACCATGGAGCAGTTCTATTTTGTTTTTTAGGCTTGCTATGAATTAGAATTGACTCACTGAAAATGGGTTTTGGTTTATAACTTTGTGTAATAATTGCTAAAATATAAACTTTTAATGATTATATGTATATTGTGGTCTTTTAGCCTGTGGGTATAGCACACACACTTGGTCTGTGGCCCTGCAGGATAATGCACTGAACTGCAAGGTTGATTTGAACCTCAAGGTCAGTAGTTCAAAACCACCAGCTACTTCTCACAAACCTTATACAGGGTCGCTATGAACCGGAATCACCTCCATGACACTTAACAATAGCATAAGGAAATCCTAAGGTTGCTATGAATTGGCATCAACTTATGGCTGTGGGGTAGGTATCTCTAAAACACTGCACTGATTGAGTCTTACATGGTGCAAATGGCTATGTTTATTTATTTGATTTTGACAAATTAAAAACCAAACACACTCATACACTTCTGTAGATTTAATATAGCCAATGTTTCAGCTATCCCCACTAATAGAACGTGAAATTGCTTCAAGAATCCAAAATATTATGTACTGCATAATTTAATTGGATCTACTACTGCAAAGCTCTTTTCCCTGATCACTATATGTTGTTGTTAAGTGCCGTAAAGTCGGTTCCGACCCATAGCGACCCTGATCTGGGTTTCCGAGGCTGTAAGTCTTTACGGGAGCAGAAAGCCTCATCTTTCTCCCACAGAGCAGCTGGTAGTTTTGAACTGCTGACCTTGCGGTTCATAGCCCGATTTGTAACCACTACGCTACCAGAGCACCTTACTTCACCCAAAATGACTGATAGGTTAACTTTTGGGATTATTTTTAGTATATTTCTTAAAAATGAAAATTACTTCATAAAATTTATTCATTATTAAATGAAAAATGTAATTTGATCCATTCTGTCAGTTTGGGGGATTTTTGTTTCATTTAAGCTAGAAGTAGAAAGTAAAAATGTAGTGTAGTGTAGTGGCACTGTAGGATAAGCACTGTACTGCTAAGCACAAGGTTGGCAGTTGAAACCCACAAACTACTTCATAGAAATCCTCTCCAGAGTTACTTTGAGTTGGAATTGACTCGATAGCACTTAATAACAACAACGTATTATTAGCGTGACATGACTTTTTTATACCATAAATTAGAAAAATGACATTAGATCAACAATAAAAATTAAGATAGCATTAAAAAAACTGATTAATTTTAGCAAATCAGCACTTATAAATGTGGGGTTAACATTGTGTATATGCACTCTGTCAGGTACCATTTCCAAAGTGAAGAGGTAAATTTAAGAGATTTATTGTTCAAAAATTGTAGAATGTTGTAAGATGTGATTTGAATACAGCAACCTTTTTTCCCGTCTCAGCTTACATGAGAGAAGGAAGAGTGTTTTAACAGTGGCTTTATTTTATGAGGATAAAAAAGGCTGAGTGCTTTGAAAATCGTCCCACCCCCTGCTGATTTTGAAGGCTGCTTGCCACTACCACCACTGTACCACATATTAAGAATTCCTAGGAGAGAAATGAGATTCTTGTTAAACTCAAGCACCAAAGCTCTTTTATACAAATTAATTTTTTCTTTAGTATCGCTTGTGTCAAACATTTATGTGACACTTCTTTTGGAAGGTAGTTCTAACAATTTATGGACTTGTGAGTGAAATTGGTATCATGTTGTTACTCTAACCCTTGGTTGACCAAAGACAGCCTGTGTTACCTTAGTGGCACTGTAGGATAAACACTAGATTGCTGACCTTAGTAGTTCAACCCACCAGCCACTACATATGAGAAAAATGTGGCTTTCTGTTCCTGTAAAGATTTACAGCCTTGGGAATCCTATACTGGATAGCTATGAGTTGGAATCTAGTCAATGGTAGTGAGTGAGGTTATTTCCAAAATACTTTGGTTTGTTTCCCAAAAAGCCAGTTTTATTCATTGAAAGATTGTCTCACTTTGAAGTTTAACAGAATCAACTATAAGTTCCTAAGGCAGACGTGAGCAATTTATAATCTTATCAGAGAGTAAGTCTTTAGCAGTTGTTCAAACTTAGGGAAACACGTGGGACTTAAAAATTGAGATATATTTGAAAACAAAAATCATCCATGTTATGTACTTGTACCTCAGGTAGGTCAGTAATTTATAATTTCATTTTATGTTGATATCTTTTCATTTTTCTATTTGCCAGTAATGATCATCTAATTGTTTCTGTGTGTTCTCCATTGTTCCCATTGACCATTTGACTGCCCTCTCTCATTGTGCTTACCTCTGCAGGTAAAGGTTGCTATCCTTAAATACATAGAAACTCTGGCCAAACAGATGGACCCAGGAGATTTTATAAATTCTAGTGAAACTCGCCTAGCAGTGTCACGGGTCATTACGTGGACAACAGAACCCAAAAGTTCTGATGTTCGGAAGGTAGGTTTTAATATAACATTTAGAAGATTACTTGGAAAAGCAAGTCATTTTGGACTTCAGTTAAATAAGGCAATATTTTTAGGGTATTGCTACTTAGAAATGAGTTGTTTGCCCAGTGATATAATAAAGAGTGCTGTTAATGATTTTTTCCCTCTTCTTCAATTGTTGTTGTTGATAGGTGCCATTAATGTCCTACTTATATGAAGACTTAGCCTTCCTATATCTCCTCCACATTTCTTCCTGAACCTGCCCCAGTGACCTTCAACAGAGTTATGAATCAGTTATGTGTAATCAGTAAAATGTTTTGACTATGCCAGTAATTCACTTGTACCTCAAGTGATTTACTACTATCGTCTTCCTTATTATGTGTTCTTTATGATGGAATACAAATTGAAGTCTTTCAACAAACTGATCCAGCATTGGAGGTACTCACTCATCTACCAAAAAATTTGGAAGACAATTGGCCTGTCCAACTGACTGAAGAGATCCATATTTGTGCCCATTCCAAAGAGAGGTGACCCAACAGATTGCAGAAGTCATCGGACAATATCATTAATATTCCATCCAAGCAAAATTTTGCTAAAGACAAGAGAACTCCCAGAGGTTCAAACCGGATTCAGAAGAGGACATGGGCGAGGGATATCATAGCTGACATCAGATGGATCTTGGCTGAAAGCTGAGAAAACCAAAAAGATGTTTACCTGTGTTTTATTGACTACGCAAAAGCTTTCAGTTATGTGAATCATGACAAGGTATGGAAAGCATTGTGGAGAATGAGTATTCCAGAACTCTTTACTGTGTTCATAAAGAACCTGTACATAGAAAAAGGCAGTTGTTCAAACAGAACATGGGAACACTGAATGGTTTTAAATTAGGAAAAGTGTGCCCCAGGCTTTT